ACAATTCGTTTGTGTGGATACAGTCCTTCGGCGCGCGCATCGTCTGACGTCAGACTAATGGAGCGTATTCCTAAGAACCGGGTTGGTTGTTCTTTTTTTACGTTTACGTTTTTAATGTTTGTATTGTTAATGCATTCGTGCATTGTTAATTGCTATGCTATGGACGTTTTTATTGGTTTTTATAATTTGGAAAATTTAATGACCTGAAAGATAAAGACAAGAGAGTTTTAACGTTTGAACTGATTAACTAGGTCCACTTGTTTCATGTTAATAAAATGCACCATTTTCCGGAACAACCTGTTTTTTAATTCATAATACATATTTTGTTTGTTAAACGAATCAGTTTGTTTGCAAAATTTTCGGTACAAAAGGCTATATTTCAAAGAAATAAAGTGGGTTTTATTTTTCACTCCACATCGACAAAAAAGGTCGCATGTTAAATCAAATTGCTTGCGACTGACAAGTCAAAGCAGAAAATTAACAATTTGCACCCAAAATAAAATCAAATTCGTAATTTATTATTCCAAAGAAGCAAAATGTTCACGTTAATTGTGTAGCAATTATTTGTAGCATTTCTTTTTTTTAAATGTGCTTGTCACACTTTACATTCAAGTGGTTGAAATCAAACAGAAACTGATAGCATAATTTCGATTTATGTCAGCTAGTTTAAGGAAATTAAGGATACAAATGTTCAGAGCAAAAATTGGCAAGTTTCTCGATTTCAAAGTAATCACGGGAGAGTTTGGACCGCAGATTCGGGAATTCGCGAATTTTCTAAGTAATTTTTTGTGAACCCTTGCTCTGGTAGTTTTTTTTAAAGATAATCCTAATTAATTTCGAAAAAAAACTGAATAAATTTATTCGGTTTTTGTTCCAAATTTGAATCTGAAATGGGTTTTCTAAAGTTGCAACAGATAAATGAGGCGAATTTTCTAGCAAAATAATTTTTTTAATTTTTGGCTGAAATGATCCCATTATCGTTTTAAAAACTTTTAGTTTTGTGATCCGTTTTGGAGAAAATCTTAACGGTTTTCGGCGAAAACGGGAAGAATTAATTTTCGTTTTTGTCACGATTTCGGCGCTGAAAATGTTAAAATTTTTACAAAGCTATAAATTTATCTTGTAATTTTTCGCCTCCATTTTAAGAGCTCAAGATCGTAAATATTTTGAAGTGAAACTCTACAAAATAGAGCGTTTTCAAGTAGAAAGTAAAGCAAAGAGAAATTCAATCAAAACTAAAAACCAATTTTTTTTAACAAACTCTACAGTCTTCAGAGGGATGGAAATGACGAGATTTACAGATAATCTGTTATAAACTTTCGCTTATTGTGTGCGTTTTTTGATAGAAAATTATGTGATTTTTGTTACAAATTCGAAACTGGAAAGGGATTTGAAAACTTTTTAGAAACTAGAGCATTTAGAAAAAGGAGTAACTTGGCTAAAACTTGAAAATTCGAATATGAATATAAATCTAAATAACAAGTAAAAAATTCATCAACATTTTCTCAGCAACGGAAGTGAGTTACTGCGCCGGTGCGTTGGGTTGGCGCACCAAGCCATTTACGTAGCATGGCGCCAAATCCTAGAAATTCACTGCCTACCAGGCCTACTTAATTCAGATATTGGTTTTCAGGCTAGTGTTTGCACAGAACCTCTGGACAAAAAGCAACAAAGTAGTAACTAATGTAAAGAGAATTGAACGCCCTTTAAGACGATGGGCCACTTGACCCCCGTTCACATTTAAGATTCTAAGGGTGACATCTACCCCTCCTAGGGGGTTGAAACAAGGAGGATAAAAAATAATTTAAAGTGTCCCCCTTACAAATAAAATTGACAGGTCTTTCCGATTTTTCATATTTTCAACAGTAAGAAAGATATTAAGGGTGGGAAGTTTTTAAATTGACCCCATGTAACAATTAAGAACATGTTCGGTTGGATAGACTCAAGCTCAAGAATCAGGCATGGAAAATATTGAGAGGTTTTGTCAGCAGATTTTGCTTGGTCCCGAACCTATGAAGAAACCCGTATCAACTAATTGTTTGGAGGTGTTTTTACCACATAAAAACTCTATTTTACTAAAGCGGCAATTAGAGAAAAAATATTTTGTTTAAGCATTAAAACCGGATGCTGTGCAGGGGAGTCGAGCAGCTCTGTGAAAAAATGTGTTTTTTTTTGTGATAAGATTTTTGTAATGGAGTACGCATTGATATTCAAGTATTTACACCATTGCGTTGGAAATTCAACCTAAATTTTATAATTAAAAATTTTTCTCAACGGATTTAGTTGACGAATTTACAGTTCTCTCATAAATATTATCCTTTTTTTTTATCTATCTTTTAATTTTATCCACTCTAATCTCTTAACTTTATCTAATCTACTACGTTTATTGATTTACGAATACAGTAACAGGGGAACACCTCCGGAGGCAACAAGGAAATTTTGAATCACCCTCTAGGTACATGTATCTAATAAATTTGAATAATAATTTCTTTCACATGAGATTTTTTTCCGAAAGTCGTATTTAAAATTTTAACTCTTGATGGGATTTGCCTCTAAAGAGAAAGTCGGGGATGTTGATTTTTTTAATTCAAAGACAAGAGACTACAGTCAAGCACCATTTAAACTGGTTGATTAATTGTCCAAATCCTCAAGTTTCGCAATAAATCGAGAAACACTTGTTTTTTTGAAATTTCGTTAAGCGAAAAGCACAAAATTTAACAAAAACACATAAAAACACTCTTCTATTAATTAATTTTAAATACGTTTAAAATTATTTACACGTAATTATTCTGTAGGTCCTGGCTTTTATGTGCAAATGCAATTTACATAAAATACATTTTTAAAGGAATTATACAGTCTTTTAATAACCACAGACCGTAAACATTTTTTTAATGATTTACTAGGGTGTTTGAAACTGAGAAAGAGTCAGGAATAAAAAATCATCAGAATCATCAGAAAACCAAGCGAAATCTGTACTGCAGGGTGATTTAAAGTACGATTTGACATTGAAAGTCTTCAGAAACTACGATACTTACTAGATTTTAACTGAGGCCATTCTTCTCGTTTCAGCCTGTAATCAACATAGTCCTGGCCAGCGTAGGCAAAGAGATACCTTATCGGCTCTGCACGTCCGGTTCCATTGAAATAAATCAACTTATATTTTGGAGCCATTTTTCTGAACCTGTTCTTTTCAGGAAATTATTTCAACTGATATAATTGAGTGCTAGTTAATCAATTTATATGTTGGATGGGATTGTTGGCAGTAATAATCTAAAGTGGATGATTTCTTTCAATAGCATTCTTACCTCGGTTTCTATCTGATGTCAGAGCAATACCACTGAATATTACATGACCGACTTTCATTTAAATTGGAAACTTATTATCTGAGTTAATTCAACACAAATTATTTTGTTGAGTTTGGCATTAAGGAGCTTATCTAGTATCTTTGTAGCAGGATATTTATAAATGTGTTTTCGAGAGCATATTCAGTGCATCATACATTAATAATTGCGATTAAGTGCTTTGACCCAGCAAATAAATAATAAGCGCGTTGCCAACTACGTAAAATTGAGTTACAGAAACGGCGTTATAATGATTTATGCTTCAAAAATTTTTACAGTATGCGCATACCGAAGTACTTAAAAAACCACTTATGTTAGTTATTTGTTCATAAATTCCATTACTAAAATGTTTATTAATTGTTTCCAAGCGGTGTACTTAGAGAATTTCTGCTTTATTTTGCGGATAACACAACTTATAAATTTAAGTACTTAATTTATGTTCAATTACATCTAGTTTTTGGTGCAATAACTTATCAAATCACCAATAATAAACTACCTTCATCAGATCAACAATTTAAGTGCGAGAATTTTTCATGTTTTATGGCAGAACTTATATTCGGTTTTTTAAAACAATTATGTACATAGGTACTTCTAATATAATGAAAATGAAAATTATGTAAAATTATGAATTACAGATAAGTATTTTCCATTATTATAGAAAAAATATAAAACTATATTTTACATTAATCGGACGAATTTTTTTATACATGAAACATGATTTTGACATATTAAAGGTCGAACTGTAGATATGTTTTAGTAGAGAAATGGCATCTGAATTATAAGTGCGTGAATTAATCATTCGAAGTTTTCATGACAATCCACCGTGGACACATCCAACACATCCAAAAATATTGCCACAGAGCTAATAGTTCATAGGACGACCGTATCAAACGTTATTAAGCGGTTCAAGCCAGGGATGGGACATCGATACTCTAACATCGATGGTAGCCATCGATGTTGACATTGAAAGCTAATATCGATATTAGGGAAACATCGAAGGCAGAACATCGATGTTGTCAAACTATAACATCTAATTTGTGTTTACAGTTGCATACAAATTTCAAATTGATTAACTTAAACTTAAATAATTTTATATTAATACTACTGTGACATTTTAAAACAATGCATTGTTAAATAATCGACTAAATTTTTTGTTTTTTGTACTGTTTTATTATACTTTTCAAAATTTTTCACTATTGTTGACTGTACTGTACGTACCTTATGTTGAAGTATTTTGTTTTGCTTTTGTTTTTACTCGCTTTGTCCATAAAATTTATGATTTTTTCCGTGGCAATAAAGCATATTTTGATTTGATTTGATTTGAACTTATAGTTGCCACATTTTTCCGTCAACTTGCTGCAAAAAGAGGCTTTTTTCGAGTGCAGCTGGAAATGGGTATCTATGCCGCGATACCGTTTGTATCGGCACTATCAAAGAGTTCGCGGAAAATGTCAATCTAGTATCAACATCAAATGTTCGATGTTTTTATTTTAGGATCTAACATCGATGTTTTATCGATGTCCCATAATTTCCAACATCGATGGTAAAAATATCGAACATCGAACGAATTACATCGATGTTTTTCTCCCATCCCTAGTTTAAGCTAGTTAAGTTTAATTAGTCATCAAATGTTAACCGAAAAGTAAGTAAGGAAATACGATTTATACGCCGACAAACAGTGAAAAAAGTTGTAGAGAAATTGGAGAAGAATCCTAGGTTATCCAATCGGAACATGGGCAATAAAGCAGGCTGCTGGAGTGAGAGCACGTACGTCGAATAAAAACCAAGATGGGCTTCAAGACAAAGTTCAGACGACACCAGGCAGAAATGCAAGTAAGAATCAGGAAGCAAAAAAACAAACTCGAAAAGTGAACACTGATGAAAAAGATTGCTGTCTGACGGATGACGAAACGTACGTACGAGCTTCGACCAATCGAACGATATTGGACCTTGATAAAAAGAGCTTTGAAAAAAACGGAAAAAGAAGCTAAACCCTAGCAGAATTCAAAATAAAGTAAAATTTTGCCGTCAGAAAAATGAACAAAGCTACCATAAAGTCGATGGTGGAAAGAATTCATAAGAAAATTAAAAAATTCTGCTAAAGCAAATTATTTCAGTTTAATTTTTTTAATAATTACTCGTAATGGCATCATCTTTAAAACACTTTTTGTTTCATTCGAATTTGGTCAAGGGTTCGTAACTTATTAAGGTTTTTGTGTGTAGCGATTTTTTCTGACTCAGTCGATAAGTTGGGATAAGAAATAAATATATATTATGAAAAAAGGTAATGCATAAATTACATATTTATTACTACAAAAATTGTTGGGATTGAACATGTTTACGATTGAAAGACGTTTTATTCGTCTTTGCAAAGAATCAAGTACTTTTGGTTTTCATTTTTCCTTAGATAAACCATCTTAAAATATCTATTCCTTAAAGTATTCGTGATTTTGACTATGTAAAAAACGCTTGCCTTTCAAATCTATACTTTGTGATCGATTTCCCTAGAACTATCCTCTATCTCTTGAACACTTGTCCCCCCATTCATTAATTTCAAGAGTTTATAATAAAATTCTTGAGTTTGTCTGTCTCTTCCTCTTTTAGTTGTTCTTGATGCAGATTTTGCGAAGACAAATACAAATTTATGTTCACTAAATCGTTTTGTATTTAGAGTACAGGATTTTTGTGATATTTTAGTGAACGTTTTTGGATAGGTTTTGCCAACAACTTCAGCAATCTGAGACAAGTTCAAGAAATTTATTTATAAGAGTAAGATAATGGTGATTAACGCTTGGAAATATTAAGATCTTGCGAATCTAATCCAAGTGTTAGAATTATTATTGTTAATTAAAAATGTGGCATTTGGAGTTTAAGAGATATTTAGCCTACTAAAATTACAAAATATTTACTTTATTTTACATGAGTTACGTGAATAATATTATTTGATCTATTATCTGCGTGACAAAGGAGATAAGATATCCTATATTTAATCTTATGTTATATATATTTTATATTGGAATTACTCCTTGGGATTTTTCCAATTTGAAAGCACTGATTTTTTCGCTCAACATTGTCATAATTACGTAGAAGAGTACAGAATTGACAAAGCCTATAAATTATGGCTTGACGACTGACTATATTTTGTTTGAATCACAGCGAAAAAAGTATATGCTGAATTAATAACCTGGAAGAAAAATTGTAATTAGTTTACTGTAATACTTGCATCAGAATATATTTTTTTATTTTCTCATAGGCCTCACGATTTTCTTTTTATTTAGATACCGTTTTCATTTACTTCTGGTGTTAATCAAACTGAAATGAGTAAAAAAATACTTAATCAACCAGCTTTAAAGCATAAAAAAGTGGGTTTTAAAAACATTTAATTGGCAATATCATTCAAGTTCTTACCGATGTGAAAGAATCTAAGGAGAGAATAGAAAATTTTCCGGCTGTTAGATGCAGAGGTCGTTTGGAGCGTTCCATTATGATTAGTAACATATTCTTCACTTGTAAATCGGCGTTGATCCAATCAAATTCATAACAAGCCTCTCGAGTCAGTAGACTCTGAAACCGAAGAAATCTCACAGGTGGGCTGTTAAACAAAATTACTCTAAAAATAATTTTTTCGATATTCTGTATTAGTTTATTTCAATTGTATAACTTGATCCCGCTTGAAAATTTGCCTAACGTCAAATCGGGTTAATTTGATCAAAACCTGCTTTGCTGTTCTGAGTTTTAAAATTTTCCGCATGTACAAATTTGTTTCAATCCCTAATGGCTAAACTGAGCTAACTAAAATTTGTGAATTGAAATATAGCTGAAAACAGGTTTCGTTTTGAAGCCGTCCAGTCTAGAGGCAAGTAAATAAACACTTGCAAAATTATAGTGGGAATATTTTTAGCAGCTTATTTTTCAGATGATGTTTGGAAATTATCTGAAGAGAACAACATTGCCTTTGCTTGCTTACCACCTAATTCCACATATTTAACTCAGCCAATATACGTAGGATATTTTTGGCCCTTCAAAAATTGCTAGGCGAAACCCAATTTATAAATGGAAATAAAACATTCTAGTATAACCAGAATCCGTGGAGGTTAATTTTCAAGACTGTTATCAGAAATATTAATGGAGATGGACAGATATGGACCTGATGCGCAAAGCAAAATGCAATCCAAAATTTTGAAAAGAAGACAATCTGGCCAAACTTTTGTTAAGTAAAATTGTTTTACTCTCGTGCTATTGATGGTGATGGTACGATGGATTGGATGGCATCATGTTTATTTTTTGATAATATCGTTCTAAATATAAAATATAACATAATGGCTTCAGTTAAGTAATGTATTTAAAAGGGCAGAAAGACCGATTGGGTCGATAGCCTTTTTCTGTAGGAAATAAAGATTACTTATTTATTATACATATATATGGATTTAAAAAGTGGCCTGAAAAGCCAATTAAAAAGCGTCTTAAAGTACCTACAACACTCTCCCCTAAAACCGACGATGCACACATGAGCCGAAAAAACCTGAAAGCTTCAGGATTCTCTAAACATTTTTTAAATGACACCAACTAAAAGGGTACTACCCTGTATATAGAATTTTTTGTCAATCAATCTGGCTAAAATCGATATTTTCAATCAAAAATATGAATAACAAGTGGGTCATAATATAATTTCAATGTCCTCCAAATGTTAACTTTTAGTTGATCAAAGTAGCTCCATTAGACGGTACCAAACTATAATTAACGGTTTAGTAATTTCATTGTCTTCATGATTTGCATACTGATTCACAGTTGTTGTAATCTTTCCTGTGTAATCGTACCATTATGATTTATGTATTTAAGGTTTTAAATCATCAACATGTTAATCATCTTACTTGCAAAATAATTTCATTTCCAAACCAGCAATAAATTCCCAGTTGGCAAAACATGCAAAGTAAAAAGGCTGCCATGAGTAGAAATGGAAAACTGACGAGATCCACCTGAAAAACAGTTCTTTGCAACAAGTTGTTTATTAGTTAAAAAATGTTTTAAAATACATAATACGCTAGAATGAAGTTTTTTAAGCCTCATAACTCGGCATCGGTTAAATTACCGATGTCAATTTTTCAAGGGTCTTTCAAATGAACTGTACACTATCGCATACTTTTGTGTAGTTAGGATTGAAAAAGTTTCGTTGATTGACCGCTCAGTCATAAATGTATGTTTTTATCGGTTTTGAATCTATTAGCCTTCGACAGCTGGGTTTAGCTGGCAAATGTCCCATCCAAGCGCCTGTAGTTAAAGGCGGAAAACTAATTAATTAATAATTATTGCAGTTACGATGTCGGTTAAATTAGCCATATAGTGGCCTCACAGTGGCCAGACTCTGTTAACATATGAGCGATTCGTGTCTGAAATATTTTATGTATTAGGTAACAGTAATTTGATTCTGAACGTTCCAGCTTTTGCTTCGATTAATCGATATTATTAGTTTTCTTACTGATTAGTCGCAAAATGTTGTTATTTAACAATAATGTTCAGAGCCGTGAAACAATATTGTACGCACCTCGATTATTTAGCGTACTTTTCGGTGCACAAAAATAATCGAAGTAGTGATCCTATAGGGGACAGTAATTAAAAATTGACCTAAAAAAATCATGAATTCGACCTAAAAAGCGAGCTAATATTTTACACTTTATTTTTTCAAAAATAATGTCTTTTGCTGCTTATAAGTTGTGGTGCAAACAAGGTGTCTAAGGACAACTTATTTCTCATTAATGGACCTGACTAATCAACCTAACTCGCAAAGACATCAACATTTGGTCCGATCTAGTAAATCCCTATTTAAACAACTCGGGCTATCTTCTATGAATGCACATTGACTGGTTGATTTAATAAAAGGAATTGAAGAAGACATTTTAGATTATACAAATCAAAAGAACGCCACATATATATTTCCATCAAGACGGTGCCCAATCGCATAAATTTCGTAAAGCCTTCGATGTTCGAAATCCACTTTTTCAAAAGAGATTAAGGGAAACTCAATTCGTCCTCCAGCTAGGTCTCCATATTTGACTCCACTAAACTTTTTTCTCGGAGTCTAGTTGAAAGTTAAAATGTATGAAAACTATTACGCTAATATTGCTGCTGTACGTAAAAGTGCCCGTGAATATCAAAACTTATCGATTTCTCGTCATTCGCAAGAACTAGGCATCTCCAAGACGACTTTGTGGCGAATTTTACGAAAAGACCTTGGATTACACCTATACAAAATCGCCGACCAATTATCCTCCTCCTTCCTGCGATTTAACTGTATTGAACTTTTTTCTTTGGGGCTACATAAAGTCATTGGTTTACAACAATCATCCAGCAAATTTACACGCTTTACAGACCAATATTGAACGAGTAATGGCTGACATACGATCTGATTTGTGTGAGATGGTCATGGAAAATTGGGTTGAACGAATTCATTGCTGCCAACGATTCCGTGGAAGACATTTAAATAATGTTTTGTTTCATAGCTAATGGTCTCCCATTGTAAAGTAAAGTAAAAGTTGACATATTTTGTAAATAAATAATGTGTTTTAGTTCCTAAGCAAAATGGGGCGTACTTAATGAAATACCCTTTATAACAAACTGAAGACAAGAAAACCAAAAGTAAACATGCTTTCATTTTGTCCTCTATGATTCAGGAATTTTGTTTGTTATGGATAAATTACTTTTCAGTTGATATTTGTTTTAAACTGTGCTTAAACTATCTTTAAGCAGTTTTTGATTATTTATAAATAATCAGTTAAATATTACGGAGAACAAACAATATATGTTTTTAACTGTGTTAACAACGCTACAATAATTTTTAGAAAATTATTATTTTGAACAGAAGCGTACTTCGCCGGCAATTAAAAAATGTTCGTAACTTTCCAATATGAAAATTGTCTATAAGGAAATGACGGTGTGTTCTGTCGGACAATATTAGGCTCTTTGACTTAAAAAAATATTTAAATAATTGTTTTCCCGATAATGTGACTTTCAGTCACTTCTATAATTTCACCATTTCAACCAGAGAAAAAATACCAGCAGTTTTTAAATTTTTTAGATTTGAGGCACCCAGTATTACAATAAAGTATTAAGTCAGGGTCGGGTTGAAAACTTTTATTGCTGCTACTTGTTAGAGCACTTTTCAGTTACCTTTTTAAGTACAAGACTTAAAAATAATTTACGATTGTCATGATATAGGAATATTTAAAGCCCGCACGTAGAACATTGATGGTAGTTTGCTTCATTAACTCGTTTTGTATCGGATGAATACAAAAATTCTGGTCATTCTAAAAATTAATCATATAAAGACTATTGGAGTACAATTTTGGTTTTTTACTAGGTCCATCCTCTACAGTTTTAAAAATATTCATTAATTTCGTTTTTTTTCGAATTTTAAACGCTTTATATTTTCACAATTGGAATTTTCAATGTAACAAAAATATGGCATTTTGTGTCAGTTTGGAAAACACTCACAGACGTACACTCTTATACGTTCGCAAATATGCGATGAGATTCACTGACAAAGTGGTGTTTAAATATAACAAATGTAATAATGTAAAGTAAAAGAATACCTAATTACTTTTTGAAATGGTTTTTACAAGAATGGAGTGTTCAAAAACTTGAAAAACAAAGACTACCAAAGCTAGCTAACTCTCAACAGCTCAAAATTGAGCTGTAAAGCGTTCAGTTATCAGTAAATGCTCAGTTTCTTAACGTTGTCTACATTTTGGTGCTACATTTCAAACAATTTTGAATGCTAATTGAATCGCTTCACATATTATTTTGTGTCGCTTAAAAGGGCTTGATTCGATTTCTCTAATGGCTGTAAATGCAAAATTAATTCTAGTTTCGTTATTAGTGACAAAATTGTTCATTGAGTGATTATGTATAAGACTATATATACAAAATAGAACCGGACTTATCGGAAAGCCTACCTCTATTTATTATTAACCATCTTTATACTTACAGTCACCATTCGAAATCCAATAATGCAGATTGCAGCGATGCTAGTCAGATACTGTATCAAAACAATTTCAGAAAACACCTTTTCAGTTAATTCGACGAGCCTAAAATAACACACACTTAAGAATATCGTTAGATCTAATTTGATTTCTGCCCGTTTCATATTATTATAAATAGAAAGCAATCAGGTTTATATTCGCTATAATAACTGATTTAATATTGGATAAATTTTTTTTATTAGGTTGTATTCAAGTGCAGGATAAACTGAACAAGTATGGTTGTATGTATGTATATGTGAAATGCAAAATATCTAAAAAAAACTACAAGATGTTTGACTCACGTTCATGAATAGGAAACATCGGAAAATAAATCGCGATCAATGGAACTATAGTAATTTAAAGAGCTATAACTACTATAACTATAAAGTCTTGTGGACCACATAGTGGAACCGCTTTAAAAGCTATTTGAAAAAAAATTACTTGAATGCCACTCAATAGTTGATGTCCTTTCAGTAACCAGGAAAAAACAATAATACTTTAAAACTAGTATTTAGTCTGCTTGAAAACAATTGGAAGCAATTGGTCAAACAATTTAGAAAGCACAGCTTACATGCTTGTTCTAATGACAATGGGACCAGGCTAATCGACTTTGCAGTCTCGAATAATCAACAATGATTCATCATAAAGATATACACAAACATACTCGGAAATCTAACGACGGTATAACAAGAAATCAGATAGATCACGTATTGGTACACCCAGACACGGGTCAAACATAATAGAGCTTAGAAAGAAGAACGGTGGAACATCGAAGAGCGAAAACAACCAGATGTTAAGGATCAGTACCAACAAAAAATAGAACAAGCATGCAGAGAAATACACCTACAGAGCCAAGGAGAAGATAATTCTTGGAAGACAATAAAGGAAGTAATTCAAGAAGCCTACAAAGAAATCCTTGGTGAGAAATGAAATATCAAAAAAAGGCGTGGTTCGATACAGATTGTCACAGTGGGGAAAAGTATGAAAAAGAATCAAGATCTGCCAAAATCCAGCGAATGAAAATAGAAATAAGTTCTATAACCTAAGAAACAAAATGCGAAAACTTACGAGAAAAAAAAAATGGGAATGGCAAAATGCACATCTACATGTGAGCACAAGAAAACTCAATAAGCAAGTGAACATACATAAAATAGGACTTTGCCCAAGACCCTCTACAATGCTTAAGCAAGCTAATGCTGAACTTACGACTAGCAAACAAGAGATCCGCAATACCCAGACAGAATACTTTAACAACCTTCTGAATTAAGAAGACGCACGAAGATATCACGAAGAGGAGAAACGACATATCGCTGAAGTCTGGGATGCACCCCATCCGAAGAAGAAACAACTAAAGCCATTAAAAAGCTAAAAAATAATAAAGCAGCTGCACAAGATGGCATCCTCGCGGAATGCCTAAAGGAGGGTGGACAGAAATTAGGATGTATATATATATATACAGGGTTGCTCATTAGTGCGTCAAAGTGCGATATCTCAGTAAATATGAAGTTTACAAGAAAATTCGTCCAACGAAAGTTTTTCACGTTTAAAAGGTCCACATTCTAAAATTACTTTCCAATATACAGGGTGCATCATAAACGTGTGGTAGTTACCAACTCTGGTTTTTTAAATGAAACCCCCCCTTTTTTTTGTTATTTTCAGATTGGCCGTTCAATTTTAATTTATTTTTGTTTCAACCGTTTTACCTGAAAAATTTACGATTTCCGAGTTACTCGTAAAAATGTGAAAGTTTTGACAGCTACTAGGTTCCACAGAAATCGATGCTGTACACTACCCGCTGCGAATTTTGGAAAACAGTTTTCAGCGATTCTAA